CGACAAGTATAAATGCTGATTTCACAATTAAAAAAATGCTTTGTCAACTACTTGCACGGTTAAATGAACAAATTCAATGTTGAGTTAGCATTCTTTTTATGTGAAATCAGCATTTGATACCTGTCGCACATTATTTTAACAGTATAAATGCTAAATCAACATTCAATTTTTTCCGTGTACATTTTAATGCCAAATTTGACTGGCTAATCTATTAAAGAAATAGTGAATGATATAAAAATCGAGCTGAAAGTCAAATAATTTAGCGTATTTAACTATATGATGTTAATTACAATGTTTCCAATTAATTTGGGGTGGTACCGGAACATTTGGGTTAGTAACCCAGTTTTTCGGAATATTACCACAATTAATTGGAAATTTCCGAATTGAGACCTGACTCCTGCCTCTTTTTCCTGCATGCCAAAAAATAAATTTTTGTTGAAAATTCAGCATAAACCTAAATATCTCAATACAGAGGGAAAAAGCTCACACACAAGCACACTTTTCCCTCAAAGTGGAACATACTGCCATACACGTACCGTACTATGCTGTACTGTCATACTGATCATACTATCTGTGCTGCCGTACTAAGGAAGGACGCCGTATGAAAATTCGAGAGTTGTCAAATTACCCTCGATAAAACATGTATTTATGACGACATTCATGCACATGTTTCTTTGCAATTTTCAGATCTATTTGATTAAATTGCGTACGAAATCGTCCGAAAATTTTGGAAAATAATATTCATAACTTTCCCTTTAAATTCAGTTTTTATCGAAGGAAATTTGGCAACGTCTGAAGGCACATACGGCGCTCTTCCTTAGCTAGCACGGCACTGTATGTCTCAACATACTATCTCACGACCCGTGCGTCCACCGCAATCAGTTTGCGTAAATAAATTTTCCGATTTTTCAGACTCTTCGGGTTTTAAGATGCACTGATTGAGATTTGATAACGGACGGACACCAAGGATGAGGAAGTCCCACATTGATATCGAAACTACTACGACGAAAAGCATCTTTCTTCCATTTGTCTCCATTTCGATAGACAAGCCGAGCCGTAAGCATGGTGGGAGCCGGCGCGGGTGGCCCGAATCCGAATCATTGTCACGACTCGAGGTCCATTAACAATCCATTACTCTGAATATCATAGTATTACTACGCCGGAGTCCTGGCCCCGCGTTGAAGTCACTCGCGACTCGCTTGACCATCGCTCCGCGCCCCATTCATAAACTGCTTCCGTTTCATTGATATTTCCTTCCCCCGCCTCGCCCCCGCCGCGAGGGGAAAAAAACGTGAACGTGACAGCTTTTCAATCCTCTTTTTTCGATCCTTTTTTCTCGGTTTATACGTTTTTGATTCATCACTTTCCTGTCGCTCCAGATCTCGGCGCGCCGCGCGCCGTGCTGCCAGCCGTACTGGAAAAATCCGTGGCGCTGCGTGACACCCTGTGCAAAATGGACTTACTTAAGCTAAACGAGACTATATTGTTGGCTAAAGTGTGACAACGCGTACACTGAGAAAAAAAAACACGGTTATTCTACGGTTACGCGGTTGTAATATCAGGCAGGATTCCACAGTAGTAAAACCGTGGACTTTGGTAAGATTATTGATGAGCATAGTGGTAGCATAACCATGCTTGTAGTGTAATTCTGCCGTGATAAGGAAGAACGCCGTATGAACATTCGAGAGTTGTCAAATTTCCTTCAATAAAATGTTTATTTTTGAGGAGAGAAATGAATATTTTTCCTTGAAATATTCAGGGACTTCAGGTGAAATTGCGAACGAAATTATCTGAAAAATTGGAAGGAAAATAATCATAAGTTTACCAGGAAATTCATGTTTTATCCGACGAAATTTTGCAACGCCAGACGGCTCATACGGCGTTCTTGCTTAGCACGGCAGAATTCTTGTGCTCACAGCAATATGACGGTAGACACAGTAGCATCACCGTGCTCATCACTACAATCATCAAAACCCACGGATCTACTACCATGAAATCCCGTGTGACATAATTACCGTGGTAACCGTAGAATATTCTCTGTGTATCTCCATTGCGGTGTTTCAAAATCTCCGATCCTAGCTTATTTTTTCCATGATGATTAAGTCAACTTCGTAGCTTGAAATTTATGCAGAATATTCTACTAATGGAGAATGAAAATCGAGGAAGGTTTCAAGAAATTAGTTGACTAGTTTCTAAAGAAAATATTAAAATATGACTGGAAGTCTACAACGTCGCAAATGGAGATACATGGTCTCGTACGCTAGCACATTCGATTTGCAAATGACTTAAACTAAACTACGTGTATCATACAGATTCTTTGCACGTAGTTCCTCTTGATCTGATTCATTTGCACTTAAAGATTGCATGAACGTGTCCAAATAGTCCACGGCATCTAACGGACAGTGATCACCCTTGTTGAAAATTACTAGTAGGAACAGGCGAAGAATTTCGCTAATATTAGTTGGATCTCTACTGATATTGGCCAAGTCTCTACTGGTGCAAGTACAAATCTCGCGATACCAGTAGACTTCTTCAACTCGTTTTGGCCAACTAGATGACCAGAATGACACGGTCAGCTTCCTTAAGCTTGGGCGTTAATTTCAGAAGAAACGTGTGGCACTGTCAAAACTTGAGAGGGACTGATCGAGTTCCTCAAGAACCCTTACTGTAAGCAAGTGTGGACCCACAATTAAGCAATGAGGGCAAACTATATACGGACTACGGAGGGAGAAGTGGACATTGAGATTCCATGTTTTTTTCCTAATATGATTAGATATGCGTCTACTTTTTTTGGAAGTGGAGAGAAAGGAGAGGTAGATGCTTGGTTTTTGTTCATGAAACGAACATATTTTGGGCTCAGTGACTTACGATTGAGAATATTGGGGGCTCGATATGCCTGGGATAGGGTGACATCCAGCTTGGGTCGGATCTGCTAAGTTTGGTTTAGAACCAGCACATGGATCGAGGTGCAATAAAACTGACCAAATCACGTAAAAAACCGTGCTGTTAAGGGGAAGAACGGCTCAAGTTTTTGCTGAGAAAAACACTATAGCTAAAGTTTCCAGTTCGCGAAATGACACACATGGTAAACGATGCTCTTCATTTAAAAATATACATGCCAAACTTAAACAAGTACCGTTTAAGCGTGGACCGTGAGGTACACCAATTTGAAAAAAAAGGTAGGATTGAATTTTTGCACAGTTACGGGTGCACACATACACTAGAGGTCCTTTCAAAAACACCGGAATCATCAGTCAGAAGTATCACTGTTTTTCCGTTTCATAGGCGCACTAAACCGGCAACATATTACCACATTTTTGAAAATTTAACATTTATGATAAAATTTGTAAACGGATTTCACTAATAAGGAAATTCTGGGAAGAGATATCTTCAATGAAGAATATTGGTAACTGAGTGATAATTTGCAAAAGACACACTAACGCCGTTATTGCTTGTTCAGCCGTCGCACGTATACCGACAAACGTATGCAAATCTTTAACAACGATATCAAAGGTTTCACAGTGAAAATGCGCGGAGAATCCTGCAGGCAAGAAACTTTACCTGAGGACCTACTTGCTTTTAAATGAATGGGTATTTTCGGTTTAAAAGAATGAACCCAGACAGCGTGAGAGGAACTGGACACTTTTTTGAAAAACGCATGCGATCGTATTCTGAGTACTGGTATGCGGCGGCAAATTGGAAGTTTACCTAAAATCTTCTGGACATGAAAGGAGCACTGCTTTCAATAATGGTAGGTTTTCATTGATCCTAGCTGTAAGTTAAGAATTCAGGAGCCAAAAATATGACTTCAAGGCTTGAAAAAAGTATGACAACTACAACTACTGCAATTGTTAAAAAGTCCCTATAAGTAGGGGTATTTTTAGGTCAAAACTTTAAGAATACCTACAGCAAGCGCTGTAATCTTGCTGAAATAAACGGGGACGGGAATATCATCGTTACTTAAATGGACCTTGGTAGAGCATGTATCTATTCGTGTAAACTAAAAATTAGAAGAGTAAAAATGACGGCCTAGTGATTACAGCTTTTACTATGAGTGCGAGGATCCTCCTCGCAAAATATTTTACCTGATGGTGTACTACGTAATATCTCAGAAATAATATAAAAATACGGAACCCATCAAAAGTGCATTGCTTTAATAATAACCTCGTTAACAAAAAATTAAAGAATCAAAGTGACTGTAGCCTGGAGACTGGAGAAAGACTGGAGTTTTCAATGTAGGCGAGGGATTCTTAACGTTAATTGGCCCAGGTACCTCTGAATACTTCATTAAAATATTTAAAATATGAGTAAGTATGGACTTTGAAAGAAGCTATGATGGTAATAGTAGCTATCGGACCCTCCTGACAAATATTCTTCATGGCTTAATGGGAGCTGCCGTTGTCCGAAATTTTACTGTAAGCCCCGAAATTCTCCGGGTTAAAAGCCTTAGGTACCCCATAACGTAGTATACTGTTAACATATTTAAAACGAGAAAAAACAAGAAATGGCTCGAACTGTACGTAACAAGATGGAGAAATGGTCCGGGGCCTAAACCATTTCGCGGGGAAAACAAAGCCAAGAAGTTTATCATTAGAGTTAAAAAATTTATTTTTGACTTTGATCTAATTATAATTTTTGGACCTTCTTGGTTTTGTTCTCCCCGCGATGTGGTATGGATCCAGCACAATTTCTCCACCTTGTTGCATATTTTAAAGACTCTGATTTGCAAGCCATTAACTTCCTCTCTCGTATTAGGTGGGAGGACGGGATTCAGATACTGATGATTGCGGTATGAGCAAACTCATTTTGACACCACCGATGGCGAATGACACAGCCGAAAAAAAATATCCATTTATTTTAAAATTAATGGACTTAGACCGAGGTTTTTTTCAAAAATTCCGAGTAGCTATCGAACCCTTTACCGCAGATTTTCAATGGAAAAATGAGCACTAGAATTTTGAAAGGTTCCGCGGTGAGGGTGAAGGTAGGGGTGGCCTTACCTGAAGTCATCCTCGGCGGTGGCGTAAGGATAATCCGGGGGGAAGAAAAGCCAGGACTGATCCTGGTAGCCCGGGTTGTAGGGTTCCTGCTGCTCGTAGCCTGCGAACATATCAGGGATCACCTGCTCAACTGCTACCTCACACCGCCGCGGCGCTTCTCCGGCGTTATCAAAATCCGAAGCGGAGATAACGCCGACACCTGATAAGCCTATCGCCCCGTCCCGTACACCTGATCTAATTAGGGCCCGCTTTTATAATAAGCCCGCCAGTGAATGATGAGCCAATCAATTTCCTTCGCGCCGCCCGTTTTGCATCCTTCACCACCCGTCGCCACCGCCGCCGCCGGAAGGTCAGTGCTTGCGAAAGCTCGCCTTCTTCGTCCCCGTGAAAACAACAATGTTGTAAACAATGTACACGGCTCGAGTTCCGCACGAAAACCGGTAGGTCGATTGGTGAACATTCACTGAAAAAAACTCCGGTCGTGGAAACCCTAGCCCTACTTAGGGCTATGCTGACGTGCTAAGGAAAAACGCCGTATGGACCTTCAGGCGTTGCCAGATTTCCTTTGATATAACACGAATTTCCTGGTGAACTTGTGGAAATTGTCCTTCCAGTTTTTCAGATAATTTTGTGCGCAATTCCGCCTGAAGTTCTTGAAAATTTCAAGGAAAAATATTCATGACTTTCTGCAAAAATAAACATTTTATCGAAGGAAATTTGGCAACTCTCGAATTTTCATACGGCGTTCTTCCTTAGTATAGCAGTACATACTGCTGTGGACGTCGTATGCACGTCAGTGGAAGGACGAACGTATGGAATAACGTCGTATGAACCTTCAGACGTTGCCATATGTTCCTCTCTGTAAGAACAGAATTTAATGGAATAAGTGTGAATATTTGCCCCCAAAGTTTTCATACAATTAGTATGCAATTTAATCTGTAATATCGAGAAGTTTCGAGGAAAAATAAGCATGAATGTTGTCAAGAATTCATGATATATTTCGGGAAATTTGGCAACTCTCGAATGTTTATACGGCGTTCTTCCTTAGCACAGCAGTATAATCGCACCGTCCGTTCCGGGCTCATAGGCTGGGAGATCTAGGTGTAAAACCCGTTGCTTCGTTCTCTGAGCCCGCGCGGAGCAGTCGCAGTTACACGCTGTTTTCAAATTTACCGCGTATGCGGGCAGTTTCTCTTGGTGGCTGGCAGTCAGGTTCTCCCGAAGAGAGACCTAACCAAAGTATACATAAAATCTTGCTAACAGTATTATAAACTTCCCTTGCGGAAGATTTCAACTGATTCGAAGCTTTTGTTCTTGCAAAATGCAGAAAGAAAATGAAACAAACGCCTGGACTCAAATGAAATCTTATCACACCTCATTTGAAGGCGTTTTCGAAACAGCGTAGTTCCGATACCCGGATTATCGTTTTGCATAGTTCATATTCTTTTGTTATGTTCCGTTCAACTCGTTTATTTTTAATCCTCGTAGAAAAACCACCCATTTATAAATACAATTCTAGCTGGAGCGCACTTCAGCTATGCATTCACCACTGCAAAAATGTCAAAGGAAATCGACACGCCCAGCGTGCATGGAGGCTATTTCCATTTATATCTTCCGTCACAATCTTACGGCGCAATGATACGGCTATTTGAACTCTCCGGAATGCGTGAGGTATCACGCCGCATTTGAAGGCGTTTTCAAAACAGCCAAGTTCCGATACCCGGATTATCGTATTGCATAGTTCATATTATTTTGTTTCCATTTCTAACCACTTGTTTAATAATAATCCTCCCATAGAAACCACCCATTTGCTAAATACAATTCTAGCTGAAGCGTACTTAAGCGCATTCATGACTGCAAAAATGTTAACGGAAATCGAAAAGGCCAGCGTGCATGTAGGCTATTTCAATTGCAATCTTCCGTCGTATTTATAAGATGCAATGATACAACTATTTGAACTCTCCGGAATGCGTGAGGTATCACGCCGCATTTGAAGGCGTTATCAAATCAGCCAAAATCCGATACCCGGATTAGCATTTTGCATAGTTCATATTCTTTTGTTATATTCGTGCCACTTGTTCATTTTTAATCCTCGTAGACAAACCACCCATTTGTAAATGCAATTCTGGCTGAAGCGCACTTCAGCTATGCATTCACCACTGCAAAAATTTCAGAGGAAATCGACAAGCCCAGCGTGCATGAAGGCAGGCCCGCCACGTGGGGGGATACTGGGTCCCTGACGCCGGGGCCCGGGCCCCGGAGGGGGCCCGTGTTACCCGTTAAATACCACTACGAATTCACATGCAATACTTGTTTCGTAAGAAAAAGTGAAAAATTTACCCTAAAAATTTCGCAAAAGGTGAATAGATTTTCAGAAACACGCTGGGGCACAGGTGAATTCTTCTTAAATTTTCAAAGAAGTATACTTCACGCATTCCGGAGAGTTCAAATAGTTGTATCATTGCGCCGTATGAATGTGACGGAAGATTTAAATGGAAATAGCCTTCATGCAGGCTCGCCACATCCCATCTCGGGCCCTGGTACCAGTTTCAAGGTCCGGGCCCCAAGCACGGAGGAGGGGGGGGGTCCGAGGGGCATCTCACGAGAAATTTTAGAATTTATACGACTAATCGGACGCATTTTGAACCTTCCATAAAGAATTTTTCCAGCAATTTCTGCGGAAGAATTATGTTTTTTTTCTACTTTCAGCACAAAACACTTGCGAATTGTTGCATTCAAAACATATGGAAAATTTTCATTTATTTAGGGGGGGGCATATGATACTTTTTTCAGTTCTAAGAGGGCCAGGCCCCCCTGGACTCCCCCTTCGTTTGTCTATGGCAACGGAGTTGAGCCATGAGCCATTGAAGTCAAGGATGGAGACTCTTAGCATCTGACGACGGAAGAAAATGAAACGCAGTTACTAAAAATATCCCTATGTACTGAAAACCTAAAAATAGATAGAAATTTTCAAGAAGTATACTTTTTTGAAAATTTAAGAAGAATTCACCAGTGCCCCAGCGTGTTTCTGAAAATCTATTCACCTTTTGCGAAATTTTTATGGTAAATTCACTTTTTCTTACGAAACAAGGATTGCATGTGAATTCGTAGTGGTATTTAACGGGCAACACGGGCCCCCTACGGGGCCCGGGCCCCGGTACCAGGGACCCAGTATCCCCCCTTGTGGCGGGTCTGGGGGAGGTACGATACCGTAGCTTTGGTTCGAAGGTTGCAGTGGTGCTTGCGCACTTCCGTTAGTCGGCCGGCGGCCATCGCTTTCCGTTGACGGCTGAATCTAAGACCAGGACCCGACCGGTATAGTGCAAGCTAGAGGGCGGCAAAGGAAACCCCTTCGGCAAATAATTAAATAAAAGATGGTCCATTTCTATTGGCGATAGGATACGCAAAACTCCTTCACGGAGAAAAAAGATTAGTGTCTGTTACTATTCGTGGTTGGTAAAACAGGATTTAGTTTCACGCAACAGAAAAATTGGAAACTATCACTCACTGAGTTAGCGGCCTATGCTAACACGAGTTGGTAAATGATGATCTAGTGCTTCTAACTGGGACCGTGATACCACTTGACATACCGACTAGTCACAGAAACCCAACTCCTTCGCTCTCAGATTTACCAACCCAGAATAGTTGCATTGTCCACCACGTCAGGTTTGCTTACCTTGAAATCTGGTAGACAAAGACAGCACTAAGTTGTATTTTACGACCAATCTGGAACTTTCAACATACACTTATTTGAAGGTAATGCGTACTATGAAATAGGTTGCATTTCTAAAAAGTGTGGTGGGAGAATCAAATTCGAGATATTAATTCTGACGTCTATATATTTGGCGTGTGGATTAGCTAATATTGGTAATATGTAATGACGAGAGCATGTTTTTGGAGCCGGCAGTCAGCTGTTTACTTTTCCAGTGAAAACTAGTGAAAGTCAAGTGTTAGTTCAGAAATCGATCAGGCTCTATCCATTGGGTTCTTAAAGATTTAATTAAATAACAAAGAAAATAAAGTACCTGCGTAAATGAGCTAGATGAATTAAAAATAGCAAGCAGTAAAGTATTAAGTAAAAAAAGTAATTAATTAGGTAAAATAAAAATAAATTTAAAGAAAGTACCTAATAAATAACAAAATTATATGAAATTTAGGCCTTATGAAAAAATTGCAAGTAAATTGGTATGTATCTCATAATATATTGTACATTGTCGCGGAAAAATCTTAGTTGGTTGCAGAAATTCTAGTTTTTCGTTAAAATCGAAGTTATATGCCGATTTTTCGTCGCGGTAATTATCGCTCGGTTTAGCTTAATGGTTAGGATTCTCGGCTAGTGTTAGGTAGGTTGTAGGATCGAACCCCGACAGAGGTGAAAAAATTCTATCGCCAAATTACACTGGATTAGACTCCGAGAGATTAATCTTTTTCATTTTTCACGGTTTCGGCGAGTTTCATCGTGCTTAATCATTTTATTCGGGGGAAAAAGGGCTCTTTTCCAACACCTTCTGTTACATGCCCCGGTTTTTGTGTGCCGCCAGATTGGAGCTGGAACAATCTCGATTCATTCTGTAAACCAGGCATTCAATAAAGCCTACCAGACGTATATTCTTACATAACAATACGAGTAATGAGTAAACCCTTAATCCTTGGCAAGATTTACCAACCCGCGTAGTCGGAGGAGGCAACCCGCCCGCCCGTGACACCGTTAGCCGTACTTACCAACCCGCTTTGTTCGGATCAAACAGGAGTTGAGCTATGACGGAAACGAAATAGGCGGGTTGGTAAACATAGCCCTTTTCCTGGTTGCGGCCACTAGTCTCTTTTCTCCGTGTTCATTCCTCTCTGTTTCTTTTTTTAATTTGGTAAAAAGTGGATCGGTAGGCCTAAAGGGGGTCGTTCAACCACTTAAAAGAAAGGAACAACGCGCCACTGAACTTACCTACTGAGAAATAAAGTTTTTACGTTGATCTTTTCCTGTTCAAAATGATGAGTTAGCCGTCACCAGAACAAAGGTTAATTGAAGTCTACTGTGTCTTGGTGACGATTAACTGATTTTTTTGAAGAGGGTTTCTCTAAGGTGGTGTGGAAAAAGTTCCATTGATACTTAAACCAGCTACGAGCAACAGTTAGATAATAGTCGTGAGATTACTTCCCGATATGTTCTGTACTCAACATGATACCTTTATTGAGCAAAATAATACGACGGAGAACATGTTTATCATTCTGATCGAGTGAAAATTGATGCATATAATATCGTCAATTGCTACAGGTGGAACGATGACAACGATATCGGTTAAAGCATACGGCCTTGTCTCCACGGGACGTTTTCATGGGATTTGTCCCAAGTTCGAATCGCAGGAATGAAACTTCTGGGATTTTTCCCAGTTACCGTCTCCACGGAACGGGGCTCATACAGTCCTGCGACTAGTTTGCGCGGGAAGATAAAGTAGTTAAAGTCGAGTATTCAACCGGTATTATAATAATAAATGCACTCAATTGACAATTAGACACATTATTTTAACTAAACAAACATTAAAATGTAGTAATGAATAAAATATCGCACAATTCGTTTTCACTTCTTCTCCTTTCTCAGTGGGTCCTAGGGGTACAAGTACCATACTTGGTACTGGGAAAAATATTGATTAACTCAATATTTTTCCCAACTTCGTAAGTGGGATTTTTCTCTGGGACAAATCTCGTGAAACGGCTCGTGGAGTCAAGGCCTAAGTGTCACTCGACGTACAATATTTTGCGCTCATTCTGATTAAACGCCTTCAAAATTCCGCATAGGCAATTTGAGCTGCTCTAGCAGTTTGATCCTTTCTACACTACATAGAAACTCCGAGACCTCCTTATACACTATAGTTTTCAGAATAACGTTAGCGAAATGATTGTCTACTTTTGCAAGAGGGGCTAACCTGAAAATATTTTTTAAAGTATTTTTTGGTTCCAGACGGGGTCCCTAACACTTCGACAGTTATAGTATTCTAGAAAAGGAGCATCTCTTGGGAAATGATGGTAAAAGGAGTATAGACCATGACAATTTCTTACACAACAAAAAAATAATTTATTTGTCATTGTCAATTTAACAAAACGAGATCTTGTTCAAGCCTCCTTTAAGAGAGTTTCCGAGCAGTTTGACACCTGCCGAACATTCAAATTAATCCTAGATGTTTTGATATAATCACTGATTGTTGACCAGCTATCACAGATATTTGCTAATTTGTCTTGAGAGTTTACTGAACTTTCTGAACACGCACTAGAAGTTCGATTTTCGTCCCACGGCGTGCGTGGGGCGGGTACAATTCTAGGCACTCCGTGGTAACAAAGCCGGCTAAATCCAGACATTATGACTATATCGCCGCTGTGGATGAACATAGGTGTTGGCGTATCTTCGAGGGAAGTTCCACCTATCAGGAAGACGGCGCTTTGACCAAAACTGTAACAAACACACACAAAAAATTACGTTAATAAGAGTTTTAAAATTCAATGAAACTTTTTTTCTTTCGTTCTTTCTTCCTTCCTTCCATCCTTCCTAACTTCCTTCCTTCCTAACTTCCTAACTTCCTTCCTTATTCCTTCCTTCCTTTTTTTTCTTTCTTTCTTTCCTCACCAAAATGACCTCCAATGTTAAGGCACTTAATCGCATTTTTTTACATTCAAGTACTGAAGCATGCGTTGGCGGAAGATTGAAACATTCTTTAAAAACTTGTAAACTTTACGATAGAACGACCCGTGAGAAAAGAAAATTAAAATATACAGAAAGAAAAACTAGTCTTGGGTGAATTTTACTTATATTAAAAAATGTACACATAACTCATTGTGAGTTATTAATTCGATCATTTTAGAAAATGTTTATTTAAAAGCATTTTCAGACTCATCATCATTATAATGGACTGCATTTTGCAAAAAGGAACCAGAAGAATCGCGATGATGCTAAGATTGTGCATTTTCATCCTTTGCAATAAAAGTACTGAAACCATGACAAAATATGAAATTTACACTGTAATTTTGTCTTAAATTTACAGTTTTAAGCGAGTTAAGTAGAAACCGTTGCTGGATAATCAGGTTTTTCTTCCAAGACAATAGAGGTTGCTCAATCTTAGCAATATTGCTATGCTCCTGGTTTCTTTTTGCAAAATGCGATCCAATATTGCCTCTATTCCTGAGTGATAATCTTCTAAGGGAAAGGGGACGCAGTCCCAAGGCGGCAAACTTTGTGGAAAGGCGGTTTTGTCAAGTTGGGTAAAATAATCGGGTATTGAGGTTCCAACACGTTCTATTAAAAAAAATGCAACGAGTACCTTGTAAAAGATGTGAAGTTGCGTCATCAATTAACGATTAATTATGAGCCGTGAGTAAACTAGATTGCATTTTGCAAAAAGGAACCAAGAGCATTCCAATGTCGCCAAGATTGTACAATTTTTTTTACCTTGCAAATATAGAAACCGAGCATCTAAACAAGTTTCATCTTTACTCCCAATTAACTATGAATTCAAGACAAAAATTACCATTATAAATTTCATTATTTGCAAAGAATGTAAGTTACGCAATCCCAGGAACATTGGAATGCTCTTGGCTCCTTTCCGCAAAATGTAATACACTCACAATTAGTTGTCGCTGCACAAAAATAGTTTCCTGCAACCCGCTATACAATGCTCCAGTCCGATGACCACATAAGACGGGCACAAACTTTTTCGGAAAGAAAGCCTTTCTCCTTACTGGTAATCACTCAATCTCCGCCCGCGTTTCGCAGTGGCGTGGCGTGCTTTGCGATATATCGATTGATCTGTCATTTAAACCTATGGAAAAGGATCGATGAACATGAAGTTCGCAACGAACAGCTTAATAATCGATTCTTTACCATAGGTTTAAATGACATAACAATCGATAAATCGCAATTCACGCCACGCCACTGGTTTAGCATATCTTCTGTTTCTCCTCATCGCAGCTTGCATCAAATCAATATTGCCCGGAGACTAGGACCGCACATCTTATCTGATAAAATCATTCGCCTTTTTTTTTACCGATTTTGGGAGAGTAAAGACTAGACTAGTCAATGAGCCAATTGTTGATGTAATTCCATTACGTAAAAGTAGGAAAAAACGGGGGATAAACACAAAAATGCGTGATCAATTTTCAAGAAAAAGTCGGTAATTTCTCTTACAGTTTTAAGTACATTAAACCGCGTAATATCCAAAATCTAAGCTTAGATTCGGATTCCTTGTGAAAAATCGATGCGATTTCATGTATCATATGTTGGAATAACATGAAGGAAGGAGGAGGTTTAACGACGCGTAAAGATTCTGTCGTACTGCCCCTTTGAAGTACGCCGCCGATCGCCCGAGATGCAACCGAACGGGGAGGCGCCGGCCGGCGCTAACAAAGCGTTCGGTTTCGTCGCGAGGAATTCCTCACGATAAATTCTTATTCTTCCTCCTCCGCTGACCCACTGAGCACTACCCATGTTGCCACGTTGGATTCATATGTTCGAATCGGTATGTCTGCCTTACGCCTCTTTCCTTCACGCTATGATCGGGTATGATACATGAAATTGCATCGATTTTTAACGAGGAATCCGAATCTGAGCTTCGATTTTGGGTATCACGCGTTTTAAGTCAGATTTTCCAAATTCGAAAATCCGAAATGACGGCCGTGGCTCAAAATGCTATCTCGGCGCCTGTTCGATGGATTTTTCTGAAACTCGGTGTCAGGGTATGGTACATGAAGTCGCATCAATTTTTAACGAAGAATCCGAATCTGAGCTTCGATTTTGAAAATTACTTTCGCAAATTTAGCTTTTTACGTGATTTCGGTAATTTTTTGCAGAGAGCGTAAGTTGTACAGTCCTAGCAATATCGGAATACTCTTGGTTCCTTTCTGCAAAATGCAATCCAACTATCCTCTTGGAACCGCAAACTCCGAGACGTCATGACTTTGCTTTAATTTGAAATCCCCCCCCCCCCC